TGTGTGTGTGTGTGTGCGTTTAAGAGCCGTTTCCCACGACACCAAATGACCTCCGTCTCTCTCGCTCTTCCTCTCTCGCTCTATAAAAGGGTCGTCTGGTGGCAGTTTGGTGACCGGTCGGACTCAAAAAGGACAGAAAGAGAGAGAGAGAATGAAAATATTTGGAGAGGAGGAGATTGAAGGAATGGTTGAACATTTTGGGAAACAAGCTCGTTCTCTGGGTGCCGTGTTTAGATGGATGTGTCTGCAGTCAGTAGGTTAGCCTAGCTTAGCATAAAGACTGGAAGATTAAAAAAGAACACCTAAAGCTCACTGATGAACTCGCTAGGTCTCATTTGTTTGAACCTAAATGTAAAAAACAGTTTCTTGGTGGGTCGGTAACAGTGACATTGTCCAGTTTGGTTCCTGTACAGAGACCACCAACCAGATCTGACCAGGGTTCCCACTCATCAATACAATATATTTTATTGTATTTCTATTATTTTTGTTTTATTTTGTTTTATTTTATTGTATATTATTTTATTGTATATTATTTTATTTTTATTTTTTATTTTATATTTTATTCAATTATATTGTATTTTATATTTTTTTTGTTTTCATTTATTTTATTTTAATTCATAATATTTTATTTAATTATATTGTATTTCATTTATTTTTGTTTTCATTTATTTATTTGTATTATATATTATATATTTTATTTTGTTTTATTTTATAATTGTTTTTGTTTTGTTTTAATTTATTTAATTTTATTGTATATTATTATAATTTATTTAATTTTGTTGTTATTTTATGTTTTATTTTATTTTATAATATTTATTATAATTTTACTCTTTGCACTAAAGTGTGAGCTCGCTGTCTCTGTGTATCTGCAGTGTTTATTATGTGATGCTGTTTTTATGTTTATGTTTTGTTTTGTTTATTGTGTCTTTAAAATAAAAAAGAGATGCTAAATCTGGAGGGATTATCCTCGATTCATTCAGATGTGACAGAAACTGGACGTTTTGGTGTTTAAGAGTAAAAACAGCTCGAGGGAAAGAACATAATGATTGTTTGTAACTGACCTCCGCCCTGTGTGGACTTTATAGTCACTACTTCCTCCTTTGCTCCCGATGGACTACAGTCATCGTTCTACAGCCGGCAGAGGTCGTTTTTCTTGGAAAGAGTCTCCGAACAAAGACATTTCCTTATGCAGCCAAATCTGTTGAAACAGGAACAAACTGAATTAGTTTATTGTCTCTCCATTAAAACCGGTTCTGGCAGCGAAGGGTGTGACCATGTTTTAGACATCGGGGGGTCCAGTTGAGACACCTCAGATATTATAAAGTTAATTTCCCACAATTCTATGATATTTATGAATATTAATTTATAATAATAATTTATGCACATTTAGAACGAGGACTATACTGACATTTTAATTCACATTTAAAGGAATAGTCCCCCAATATAACGGCTGCCACTGACTTTAAACACAGATACCTTCCACTAGGGGACGCAACCAAGTCGGGGGGAAGGGAGGCATGTTAATATATTTTCTACTGTATATTCTGTATATTGCTGGGGACAGATACTGGTATGAAGTTCTTCAGATCAAAAGTCCTTTTTATCTGTTTTAGTCACAAAGTCATTACAACTTTTAGTCAACATGCTTTCTTTTTTAATGAGTGAGAGAGAAACTGAGATATTATTATCATTATTATATACGTTTAATTATTATTTGACAATAAAGACAAGGAAAGAAAGAAAATATCTCACATTTACTGAATATCCGACTGCCCAGCTTCAACATTTTAATCCCGTCTCATCGACATTTCAAGTTTTTATTATCAGAGATCTGTTTTTGAGCTTGTTGTTGTCATGGAAACGATGTTGTCCGCTCACAGTAATGACTGCAGTCGGAGTAATGAACAATAACAGCACTGATGTTATATTGATAACGTTCATCAATAATCGATCACCAACATGTCGTCAAACATTTAATAACTGTAATGTTTCTCAGATGATGTCAGCGATGACTGTGTGTGTGTTTAGCTCCATATCTGGGAAGTGAGCTAATATCAGAGTCTTCAGGGTCTAATTTTAGAGTGTGTGTGTTTTATTTTACACACACACACACACACACACACACACACAGTCCAGATGTTTCCTATTGAACGGGTCTGGGGAGACCAGATCCGGGTCGCCGTCGGCCAGCTGGGTCGAAGCTCCGACACCAAGAAACCCGTCAGGAAAACTCGGAGGAGAAGATTTATTTTAAAGCTGCTTCAGTTTTAAACTAATTATTTCTTTTTAAAGGAGAAATCCTCTTATAGGCCTTTTTCACAGCGGCCATTTTGGTGCTGATTAAGGCTCCGTTCCATTCAGGTCAAACAGAGTCAGAGAACTGATTAAGGCTCACTGGAAAGTCTCTGCTACACTAAATAGAACAGAGCCTTAATTAATGTCATTGTCTGTGTTTACCCGACTGTTTCATATTAAACTGGCTGCTGTGAAAAAGGTATTTTCTCCTCCAGAGTCAGATGGTTTCATCTGTGTGCAATATAAGTCTGAAATATGTTTAGCCTAGCTTAGCATAAAGACTGGAAACAGGTGGAAACTGCCAGCCTAGCTCCATCCAAAGAGAATAGAAAACACATCATGGCTCAACCTTGAGGTGAAGAGGTCACCTGATCATTAGTTTTAAAGATTATGACATTAATTAAATAAACTCTGGAGGTCTGGAGATTTTGGAGGTCTAGAGGTCTGAAGGTTTTGGAGGTTTTGGAGGTCTGGAGATTTTGGAGGTCTGGACGTTTTGGAGGTCTGGAGGTTTTGGAGGTTTTGGAGGTCTGGAGGTCTGGAGGTCTGGCTACAGGTTGGTTCATTCCCGTCATGTGGACCCTCCTCAGACTCTGAGGTGTGTTTCATTCGCTGACCCTCCCAAAGCGTCAGTTGCTAGAGCACCGAGTATGAAACCCTGAACACTGGATGACGGTCGCTGGGTGGCTCGTACCAGAATATCTGTTCACATATAACACTGAAAACCAGTGGTTGCCAAACCTGGGGATCAGGATCCCTGCTGGGTCACTAAAGCTTCGTAAGGGGTTCGCAAGGTTTTTAAGGGGTTTAAGAAAACTTAAAAAATATACACAGTAGGTCCAAACCGCTACATTTTATTCCTTTCTGTGAAGAAGACACTAAATTAAGTTGATTGAACTCAAACAATTGTTCAATTGTAAGTAAAACAAACTCAGAATGATCTTCCAGCTCATTATTGCCACATACACTGTTACCAACCCTCCATACAACTGTTGCCCCCCTTCGACCCCCGGTGCTGCATTTCTTAAATATTCTGTCTGGGAGCAGCGTGAGTCTCTAAATAAAACACACAAAGTCAAACGATGAATCACAAATCAAATACAGACACCAAAAGCTAAAGGTTAATTTAATGATCTGATCTGGACACATTCAGACTTAAATTAATGAAAAAACACACAAACTGTCTGAAGATTTGGAAATAAAACAACTTGTTGAATTGTATTTCCACCTTTAGATATTTTTATTCAGAGCTTCACTTACGTGTCACAATGATGTTTTTTTTTTCCAAGCAAATATTGTTACATGTGATTGTTTCTGATTAAATCTGTACAGTGTGAGGCAGTTGATGATAATTACATCATTAACAATATCTTTGTGACAAAAACAGCAACTTTCTACATAAAGAACACACTTATTTCTTTTGTCTTACTCTATTATTATCAATATATTTTAAATGATCCTTTTTCTTTCATGCACATTGTTTAAAAAGCCTCCAACCTCATAAAGCTATCTGATTTACATTGTTATAAAGTTTATAAAGTCTTTTGTTGTATTAAAGGGAACTGATAGAGCTCTGGATTAACACTGACCGCTGCTCCCATCTGCTGGTCCAAACACAGAACGACACCCAGTTCAAAATATACAGCAGGTTTTAATCTATTTTTAATTATATTAAAAAACATTTAACAGCATCAGAAAACATTCAGATATTGTATTAACAGACCTGTTAATAAAGTACAATACATATACATTTATTATGAGAAGGAGGATGATACATACAGTTAAATAATGAATACACAGTAAAAGTTCAATTCAATCAGGAGTCCTGAAATCATGACACTGATTCGATGAATAAAATAACATTTAACTTTAACTCATCTCGTGTGAAAAGGTGTTTTTTATAAATGTGCTGCTAAATACTGAAACTAATTTCTGCCAATATGATGAAAAAAAAAGATCCTGTAAGTCAAAATAATGAGACTTTCTCCACATTTTAACTCATTATCTCGAACCCTTCTGTTTTAATCACATTGGTGGAAACTTTCACAGTTACAAGATTTATTTTAGGCTTGCAGTCTTTGTGCTAAGCTAGGCTACATGTTCTTTCTCCACAGTGTTCCTTTGAAGATTTTCACTCTATTTGAGGTGGTGTTGAAAATATGACCCAGCATTACGAACAGTCTCTGAACCGGTTCAGACGGCGTCCTCCTGCCGTACAGGCGTTGTAGGTTGCATCATTTCCCGCTCCGCTGTATTGCCGTTGCTCTGATTCCCGCCGCAGGGGAACAACCTGTGGACCGTCTGTCTGAACGGAGCGTTCAGGTAGAAGAAGAGCAGTGGATCGAAGCAGAGGTGCAGCACGGTCAGCATCAGCGTCGACTCCTTCCCTAGAAACAGCTGCCTCTTGATTGCGCAGTCTGTGATCACTTTATTCTGTGCCAACGTGTACGGCGTCCGCACCACGTGGTAGGGCACGAAGCTGAGCATGTACGCCAGCACCATGGCCGCCACGCTCCCCGCCGCCTGCCTGGCGTCCACCCAGAGTTTGGGGTCGTTGCGACTGCCCAGGAGTCTTTTGAGAGTCAGACCGCTGGAGATGAGCACGGCGGCGGAGGCATTGAGGAACAACGCCATGCAGAGGAAGACGGTCAGGGTGTGCCAGTGGAGGCTGAGGTCATTCTTCAGAGAGGAACAGCTGAGGTAGGGCTGCTCCTGCACACACACACAGATCATAGTTAGTTATTACACAAAGTTACTATTTTGAAAAAGTTTCTTATTATTTTGAATATAATATAATATAATATAATATAATGTAATATGATTCGGACTTGAACGGACTCGTCTTGGGTTTTAGGAACCGACGTTAAGCAGCAGTAGTAGAAGAAGTCATAACAGTAGTTCCAGTTCCAGTACCTTTACTTCCTTTATAGGCAGAGCCATGTTGGGCACCATGATGAGCAGCAGCAGCACCCAGACGACCAGCGACAGCAGCCAGGCGAAGCCGACCTCCAGCAGCTGCAGATAGTGCAGACCGTGGCAGTCCTGCAGGAGAGGAGGTTCATCAGGTACCACTGGGAGTTGACATTAAGACCATTAACTCTTTACAAAGAAACCAACATCAAACGAGAGTAAAAACCTGTAGGTAGCGGTCGATAATGACGAAGGCGAGGAAGGCGACGGATGCGTAGAGGCTGATGTAGATGGTGACGGCGCTGGCCTGGCAGTGGAACACCATGAGGCTCCAGGGCGCCGCCCCGAGGTCCTTCAGGATCTTAAAGGGCAGAGCGAGCAGCAGCAGGAGGTCGGCCACCAGCAGGTTGACCAGGTAGACGCTGGTGCTCTGCTGCTACACACACACACTCATCACTAAAAGATTCCTGAATAACATCCTATTACAATAACAGTCCAAATAAAATGATTCTAAATATGATTGTCAGTTATTTTACAGCGTTTGGTGTTTGTCTCTGTTGGGCGCTGACTGCAGTTCACTGAACGGCCACTGGTGGCGCTGTTAGTTACAGTTTAATAAACCTTAAACAACCGGTCCTACCTTGGCTCTGGGACTGCGGATGAAGGCCCACACAGACAGCAGGTTTCCAGGCAGACCGATGATAAAGATGAGGATGTAGAGGACGGTGAACGGTCCCATCTGGTCGTTGACGATGCAATCAAAGGCTCCTCCGGCGCTGGAGTTGGAGGAAGGACCCATCCTGGGAGAGCTTCACCTGTTCGCTGTCGTTCACCGTAAATAGTTTACTAAAGTTGAGCTAAGGAAGAGAGAACAGAGAGAGTTTTATATTGTGCTTACTGCAGACTGTTAGAGGAAGTCTGACTCTTCAAGCTGATCTAGTTGTGGTTTGGTTCACAATCTGGTTCGAAACAGGAAGAGCAGAAGAAACCAATTTATATAACCAAGTACCCCAAAACCTTCTCAATCTGCATCTACGGTAACGTTTCACTGTACCCCGACAGGAGTTCATGAGACCTCTGAGAGCTCCTAACGGGACCTGCCAGAATCCACCGGGCCCGAACCAAAACAACCAATCAGAGCCGAGAAAGACAGAAAGACGAGTGTTTGCATCATTCTCTGCTCTTATTGTTTTAATTTTAAGAAAATCGTTGCATATTTGCCGACGTTTGACAAACTACGAAAACTACAATTCTTGTTCAAATTTGTGGAAAAGTTGTGGTGAAAACTGTAAGTTTGAGCAGAATTCACAGAGGTTGATTGAATTTGTGTTAATGGTTCTGTGCAGAAACGCTGAGAGAAAGTCCATCTGTATAATAATTGCATGACATTCTGGGTTTTTGCATTCATTTTAATAATTTATAGCCAATTTACAACAATTTAGACATTTTTTGCAACTTTTTAGCAGATAAAACGGATTAAAAAAATACTTTTTCTGCCATAAATACCAGAGTACACATGTAAATCCCATATTATGTGAATGAGTTTATGTGTTGTATGTTTGCATATTCTAAAGTAATGATGTTAATTACCTGAGTAAGCTAGCCACATTAGCCTACAGCAATGCTCACTTCATATATGAGAGTGGCACTCTGTAATCTGTCAGCATTGTATGTTATAAAGGATGAGCTACGTTTGTGTCGTTGGACGTCCTGGAAGTGACAGACGAACTGTTGTGCACGATGCAAAGCAGATTTTGTGGTCGCACACAAGAGTCTGTCTGCAGCAGGAAGTCGTAAATCAGGAACCTTTCCCTCGCTTCACTCTCACACAACGCAGCTACTGCGTGATGTGACACTCGCAGCTACAGAGCTGCTGTTACTAATATTTCAGTTCTACATTTCTTACACTGTACCACTGTAACACTAACCTCTAACCCAGCAGCTGGAGTGCCAAACAAATACAGTAAAATAACAGATTTTTTTTTTTAAGTTATTCAACTGTTATAAAAGTCATTATCTGTGAAATTACAGTAATTATTGCTGTTTACACTGACTGTATTTGGACAGTTTACCAATGCTTATACACTGATAAACAACATTTATTCAATGTTTCTGTGGTGAAAACCTCCATAATTTACAAGATATCTGTCAATTAACAAACAAATCCATGAAAAATTACACAACAAATACTTTTTACTGTCACTAATTTTACATAATTATAGAAATGTATTAACAGTATTAAAATTTTAATCTATTAAATAAACAGTAAACGTCTGCAACACCTGTAACCGCTCTACCGCCTGAGGCACAGCCGGGGGCGGGGGTGGTGGCGGCGGCGGGGGAGATCTCAGATTTCACCTAAACATCAGTCAGTCTTCTTTCGAGTAACAAACCATAAATGCAGATTAAAGAATCGTTTAATGACCCAACTGAGTCAGCTTGACAGGAAGTGACATCAGGACTTGTATGGAAATGAAAAGGTCACAGGTTGTGGCAGCCCGATTACATGGAAATGTAAAAGAAAAATGCCTCACTGTGGCCTTTACACTGGAGGTTATTCTTCTTGTTCTCTTGAAGTTAAACTGTGTGTTTCTGTGGATTATTGTTAGGTTTTATGCCTGTGTGCAATCATTAATGTAATTGGGAACTTATTGACAGGGACAGATAAAGTGTGCAAGCAGCAGCGAGAGAAGTTTGAACGTATAGTTATTACTTACAGACGTTAAAGTACCAAAATAAGTTAGGTGTTAAGGTTATTCTGGGCGCCGGAGCTCACTGATTACTGTACAAACACACAACTTTATCAGTGATTTGGGTGAAAATGGATCATATTTTTTGGAGAGATCCGTCAGCATCAGGTGCTGTATTCAGTCCCAGTGCTGTTCACTGGGACTTCTTTTAAACAAACCTATGGGCATTATATAACATTTCAGACAACCGATCCTTTCATGTTACTTTTTAATTAGTTTCTTGTTTTTGCTTTGAAAAAAAGTCAATTTCTTGTCATTAACTCTGAGTTATTAATAAAGTCTTGGGTTGGTGTCTGAAAGCTGGAACTGAATCATCAACAGGAGAAAACATCTGTTTCTTTAATAATAATTTTATATTTCTTTAATAAAATATAAAATATATAATAAAATATAAGAGTTTATTTCAGTCAGACTCTGAATATGATCAAACAGTTTTATATTTCAGTTCCTGTCTCACATAAGCAGCTGGATGAACACAGATCAGTCTGAATCAACCCTTACCTCCTCTATCGCCCCTCTCTCTGGTTAGTGGGGGGGGGCTCACAGGTCCTCGGACCACGTGTTGGATCCCTGAGGACTCTGCGGGGCTCTCCTTAGGTCCTCGGGGTGCGTTTCATTCGGTGTGTTGGAGCAGCTCATGTGCTCGGGGCTGCGGAAGCTGCAGACGGATGAAAAGTGTTTTCCTGTAGCAGCGTGTTGCTGTCGTCAGTCTGACCACAGGCCACGCCCCCCCATCCCACACACACACACACACACACAGGCAGCTGTTTAAGGGTTTTCCAGCAGTCGAGTGATGAATAAAGGTTATTTCATATTGACTGTGGGTCTCTTACATTTAAGTGACAGATATCAGTCGGTTGTGTGGGAGTGATAAGTGAGAACAAGGTAAATTCTGATGAATGTGAGTTTAAAAAAGAAACTGGGAAAGTGATTAAATGCCAGAGAGACTGATTCAGCTCTGGAAGTCACAATGATTCAGTTCTTTAATATTGAAAGTACAAAAAAGTACACAGTAATAGCTTGTCCTGTCTAGCTGGCATTAGCACAGTAATATGTGAACTGTCATCACAATCTGCTCCAATGAGCTCAGCTAATAATACACAGATTGAGTCAGTCAGAGTTCCCAGTGGAGAACATGAACATTCCCTTTGTTGTAATTCCTACATTGTCCCGATATTGTCCAGAATTCAATGATTTACAGACACTGAAGCCGCAGTAACTGCAGCCGAAGCTCAGAGACAGCGAGGGAGAGCGCAATGACTGGTTGTATGATAACAGTCTGAGCTACTAGATACTTGAATTTCCGCAAAGGGGATTAATAAAGCATCTATAGATCTATTATTATTAATATAAAAATATATGCTTCTTCCTGTTTCCTCTCAATCTATAAACAACATACGATCTTGTTGGTTTTGTATCAGGTCTTCACATGTGACAGCAGCTTCTGCACACATTCAGATTCTGACAGCGATAAACAGATGGTTGCCATGGTGAAAAAAACTGTGTAAGTGTAAAGAAGTGATAATGAGATCCATATTTTAAACTTCAGAGGTTTATCTGTAAATAAAACACAGTAAATGTTTTTATTTTACTTAAAACTATAAAACCTAATGAGTTAAAACGGATTACCTTAAACCATTTAAGCTCCTAAAAATACAAATAACTCAAGTAAAGTTACTCAAGTTAACGTAACTTGGATAAAATAAGCTAATTGTACTAATTCCCTTTAGTTAATTGAACTTAAAACTAATAAATATATCAGAGTCATACTTACTAAACTTCTTTAACTCATTTAAATGTGTCTGAATAAAGTAAAACATCTTTCCACTAAAGCAGTTTATTACAGTACTTGTCAAAACAATTTAATTCATAAGATTGTTCAGAGGATTAAGTTCATTTACTAAGATATGCTGGTTTACAGTGTGTATGCAACCACAGCACTAATATTAATGCACAGTGAACAGACAGCTGCTGCAGTAGTTGGTGTTGTGGTTATCAAACTGCTTTAATTAAATATTTAAAGTAAAAACAACATAAATGACAGTGAATCTGCATTAAAGCAGCCAGACAGCACTCGCTCACAAACGTTATATAAGCTGTTTCGTTGCTGTGGTTGATACACACACAAACACACACACACAAACACACACACACACACACACACACACACACATATATATATATATATATGAATGTAGATATGAAAGTTTCACTCACAGCTCTGGAAACAATAGACTCGATGATTCTACTTCTCAGTGTCCAAAGTTCATCCTCCCAACAGTTTTAAACTCATTTTATTCAATTTCCAGGTGTTTCTATCATTTGTGGGAACCCTGATTAAAGCTGATTAAAGCTGATTAAATGTAAATCCTGTAGTGCAGAATCTGGTTCCTTTGAGCCAGGAGGAAGTCTCACTGTTTACAGTATATAATGGACAGCAGGGATGGGTGGAGGCAGGGGCGCCGCCAGGAATTTTGGGCCCCATGACAAAAA